AGGGGCTCATGGAGACTGAACCACCAACCAGAGAGCCTGCAGGGGACTGACCATGTGTTACAATTGTGTACTTTGGTCTTCCTTTGGGACTCCTAAGGGTGGGAGCAGGGGCTGTCTCTGACTCTGTCATCTGCTTTTGGGACCCTTTCTGCCTACAGGGTTGCCTTGTCCAGCCTGAATAGGAGAGGAGGTGCCTAGTCTCCTTGCAACTTGATATGACAAGGTTAGTTGATGTCCACAGGAGGCCTGCCCCTTTAGGAAGAGAAATGGAAGAGGAGGAATGGATGGGGGAAGGAAGATGTGGGGGGTGGGGACTGGGAGGAAAAGAGGGAGAGGAAACTGCCCTTGGGATGTAAAAACAAACAAACAAACAATAAATACAGAAGGAAGGAAGGAAGGAAGGCTGGTACTGAAAAAGCATGTAAAGATGATTCTGGATTCTGTCCTTCGTTTTCTTCCCTGAGTAATTTCTATATTGCAGTTACAGCCTGGCATTAACATGGGGATAGGGGGTCTGAACTATGGTTCTCATGCTTGCGAGACAAACACTTTAAGCTCTGAGGACGCTCCCATTCTCTCCTCTGATATGGTTTTTGTTTTAAGACAGAGTCTCTCGTGGGGACTGGTAAGCCAGAAATAAATAAATAAAACTGGTAGCCACTGTTAACCTTTTTTTTTTTTTTTTTTTTTTTTTTTTTGGTCTTTCGAGACAGAGTTTCTCTGCGTACATTTGTAGACCAGGCTGGCCTCAGACTCACAGAGACCCACCTACCCTGCCTCCCAAGTTCTCTGCCAGGCTATTGTTAACTTCTTTCTGCCTTAAGAGCAGACTTCCTGGCAGCCACTGTGTAGAGAGGTAAACTTGTAACAATGTCTCCGCCTCCCAGCTTTCCAGCTAGGCAGGTACCGCAAAGGTTAGCTTCTAACTGTTGCCTCTATGGGACCCCTTGTGCTCTAGTCCCTTAATTCTTAAGTGTCCTCCTTTGTGACTCTCTTTTGTGACTCTACTCTCTGCCCTGCATTCTTTCAGGGACAGCGAAAAGGGCTGTGTCAGCCACAGGCTTTCGCAAACATCCTAGCTAACCTCCTGACATCCTATAACCAACAGTTGTAAAACATAAAATGTAGCCAGGCCATGGGGGTCCATGCCTTTACTCCCAGCTCTTGGGAGGCAGAAGCAGGAGGATCTCAGTGAGTTCAAGGCCGGCCTGGTCTACAGAGTAAGTTCCAGGACAGCCAGGACTGTTACCCAGAGAAACCCTGTCTCGAAACCCACCCCCACCAAAAAAAGTGAACAACAACAACAAAAATTTAAATGTAATGTGACTTTAAGCTTGACCTCAAGGTTGTAGAAGCTCTTTGACTCATGCCTGCTGCTTGATTTTTACTATAAGAAGAGGTCCAAATCCAGCCCCATTGCCACGGCTTTAGAAGCTCCATAACTGACTGTGGTCCCAGTTAACTAGTTAGCTTTCTGTGCATCCTTGTGCCCCATGTTGATTTTTGTCTTAAAGTTTGCTTCTGCTTCAGACTTTGGTGGTCTGTTCCCCCACCCTTTGTGCCCCGGAACCGAACAGTCACTGTGCCTGGCTTTGTTTTGCGTGGGTTCTGGGGCTTGAACTCAAGTCCTCATGCCGAGCACCTTGCAGACACAATTCTCCATCATATGTGCTTCAACCCAAATGCAAGTCTCTGTGCCAAGCGCATACGTTTCCTTTTCCCGAGAACGCTGGGCACTCGTCAGATGAAGAGATTCAAGCAACTTGGGCATGGGAGCAGCAGGTGTTAACGATGTTAAAAAGCTAAGCCGTCCTGCTCACGGCCATCATTTCCTGGCTTTGTGGACCAAACCTTAGCTTCTCTTTTTCTTTCTCATTTTTTTAATGTGTGTATTCGTGTCTATGTGGGTATGTACATGTATGTGCACATGTTCTTGGAGGCCAAAAGAGGGGTTGGATAGACCCTCCAGAGCTAGTTACAGGCATGTGTGAATCGTCCACCATGGGTGCTGAGAAATGAACCCCAGTCTGCTGCAGCGAGCCCTCTTAATGCTGAGCTTTCTCCTCCACCCTCTTCTTTTCTCTTCTTGTCTTGTTGGGACACAAGCCTCCTAGTTGGCCTAGGCTGGCCTTCTACTTGAGGTCCTCCAGCTTCAGCCCCCCCAGAGGGCTGGGGTTAGAGGGGTGTACCACCAGGCCCAGTTCAGATGCAGCTGAGGGTCAAACCCAGGGCTTGGTTCACCCTAAGGAAGCTCCTGTTCACCCACCCAAAGCCCCCCAGAGTGCTTTAGTTAGCCAAGAATTCAACAGCTCAGAGGCAGAGACTGTTGTTGAAAACCAATCAAATCCGGGCTGTGTGGCTGTAGCTCAGGGGTAGAGAGCTTTGGCAAGCACCTGTGAAGCTTTAGGTCCAACCTCTAGCACTCAGTAATGATAATAATATTTATATAATAATAACAAGGGAAGGGAGGACCATGCCTTGGGCAGTTCTGAAGAGGGACGGAGTGGGAGGCCCTTGTCACTCCATTGGCCCTGTGCATTGAGAGGGCCTCACGCAGGGCCCTGTTTAGGATTATGGAGGAAGAGCCCAGGAAGATTAGGGCTATGACAGGGCAAACCCGGAGGGAAAGTACTTCCTTCTCATGTCAGTAAGGAAGTTTGGAAAGGTGTTTTGTGGCATCCGTATCTCTAAGGAAGAAATGTTCACAGGATACGGATTAGAATCACTCACAGCAGTCTCCATGGAGAAATCTTCACTCAAGTGCTCAGGAGCCTGGCTCGAAACTCTGGGTAAATATCTGATGCAAGTTCTAACATGACCTGGCCTCCGCAGAGCAGATGAGCAGAGAATCAAGCAAGTGATTCCACCAGACTGTGGGCAGAGGACCCGGAACACAGCACTGGCCTCCAAAGCCTTGGGCAAGCCCCCTCCCCGCACCCTGCGGTCAGTTTCGGCATCACCCTAAGACAAACAACTGGCGGGTTTGCCATCTTGGTACCTGCTGGACAGGCCTGTCCTCCCAGTCTAATTGCCGCTGCGGTTGTGAGTCCGGCTGTGCCCACTTGCAAAAGGTCACCACAGCTGGACTTGTTGACTATTGACCATTCCCTGACAGTACCACCTGGAGGGGGAGGGGGAGGGAGAGGGCCGTGCCACCTTCACCAGAGGATCCAGCACAGTCTCCCCAAAGGTGTATGCAATTCTGCCCTAAGTACACGTGGCCTCCGGGACAGGCCAGAAGTACCTAGGGTGGGAAAGACTAGGGAGAGGGCTCATCTGTGTGGCCTCAAGGGAGGCCTCAGCCATCTTCCAGTGTGGTTGCTTTAAGGTCACCTACAGTCCTGCCCATGACCTCCACTGCTCTGTCAGTAAGCCTAACAAAGCCCCCGGCTCCCGAGGGTGAACCTGGTGGAACTGTATCTTGGATTGTCCTTGGGTCCTTTGCAGGAGGTGTAGATGTTATATCTCCCCCAGGGAATGAATTTTAGCAATGGCATCAAGTGAAGAAGAAAGAAGGAGGATGGAGGCGTGGCTTAGTTGATAAAGGACTTGCCTGGTATGCATGGAGCCCAGGGCTCCTGGCCCAGCATTGCAAGAATGTGAGTATTGCAAGTGAACGCATGTTAACTCCCAAAGCAGGTCAGCATTTATGGATGCATTTTCCTAAATAATGATCATGATGATGATTTTCTAGTTTACCGCTTTTTAAGTCCTTTTGGGGCAAGGAGATTTTGCATTGTCAAGAATTATGTTTTAGCCAGGCACGCACCTTTAATCCCAGCACTCGGGAGGCAGAGGCAGGTGGATCTCTGTGAGTTCAAAGCCAGCCTGGTCTAGTGAATGAGTTCCAGGACAGGCTCCAAAGCAATACAGAGAAACTCTGTCTTGGAAAAAAAAAAAAAAAAAAAAAAAAAAAGAAAGAAAGAAAGAAAGAAAGAAAGAAAGAAAAGAAAAGAAAAAAGGAAAAGAAAAAGAGTTATTTGATTTCATTTTATGTGCAAACATGTTTTCCCTTCAGGTATATATGTATATTATGTGCATACCTGGTGCCAAAAAAAAGGCTAATGGGCTTGTCAGATGCCCTGGGACTGGAGTGAGCTACCATGTGGTGCTGGGTACTGAACCTGGGGTTTCAATAAGAGCAGCCATTGCCCTTTACCACTGAGCCACCGTCTCTCCAGCCCCTCAAGAAATCTGTTACTTCTCATAGATATTCACACACTACTGTCACCTTGTTCAACTCCTTCCCAGAGGGGAGGGGAGTGAAGACTCCAGGATCTATATTGTTCTGTGAGGAAAACACCAGAGGAACGGCTCTAAAGATGGAGGAATAGATAGAAAAGCAATGTAGAAAGGACAAAAAAAGAAAAAAAAAGTGAAGGAGATTTAGCTCGCCAGATCACCAGTGGGGGCGGGGGGAATGGAAAGGAGGCCAAGAAGGGCTGAGGTACATTTCTCAATATCCTCACGGACAGTGAGGCTGTTTCTCCACCTGGCTAGGAGGTGGCTGAGTAGCCCTGGGATGAAGAAATGGGTTTCCTGTAGTACCTGAACACACGGTAGGGTCACACAGGTAGCTCAAAAGGTAAGAGCCATAGGGCCATCAGGGATCAGGATAACTCCAGTGTACAAGGACCTGACTCTGAGGGAGGAGGGCTGGGTCCTGGGCTCTCTGAGGAAAGTTTTAGGATCTGGACCCTTGGGTTAGTGGCAATAAGGCTGAGCCCAGGACCGTTGAGTCTAAGGGAGGAGGGGCCTGGGAGCTGGACTCCTGGCTGTAAAGGATGAAGGCTGAGTCTGTGTACTCTTCTGTCTGGAGGAAGGGACTATCCAAACAGCCTAGCCTTTCAGGTAGTGGATTCAGGGCGGGGTGCTGGCCTGTGTCTATCGCAAGACAGTGCTTTCCATTTCCTGGGTTGCCTTGGGTAACCCTGAGTATAAAAGGGTTGCATTTCCTGCTTAAAGAGCACTGGAGTCATTTCTAGCCACGGACTGGAGTCATGAACCTCGCCCCAGTGCTGACCCTCCTGGGGGTCAGCGTTCTGCTACCCTGTGCGTGAGAAATCCCGCCTGGAAGGGGACATCTATCCCAGGAAGTGGTACGAGGTAACCGACTGAGATGGAGCTGATCGTCTCGTCACAGGTATACCAGCTCTGAGTTGCCAAAGTGGGGTAATAGAGGCTGTGCGAAATGCCTCGGAGCTGCCCCTAGAGTGGAAAACTGGCCAGAAAACTTGTGAGGTCGGCGAGGGTTGCCAAGACCTGGTGATGCTCCTGGAGAATGGTAAGAAACTCCCCGAGGAACCCCACCCCCCTCTGGCGTCCTGCATCCCCGGGAGGGGCTCTTCCTCACCAGGAGGTGCAAGCCTTCCTAGCATCTCACCTACCTCAGGATGCCCAAACTCACTCCGGGACCCTGGAATCCCAATCCTCATCTCTACCTGCTTTCCCTTCTCCATCCAGGACCCCAGATAAGCTTGGTGATCATCAAGGACTGTGTTAAGGTTGAGGACCAAGAGCCCAGGGTTACCTGGCTCAGGACCGGTCCTGGGCTCTCTATCGTCTCCTATACCAGCGTGTGTCGCCATAGCGACTTCTGCAATGATGTATCCAGCACTGAGGTTCTTGGGGACCTACCCTCACCCACAGGTGCCACAGGGAGAAAGAATGACAGGGGAGGAGGGAGAAATTCTCATAAGGAAGGGGAGGGGCTCTGGGAGAGAGATCAGCGCACAGGGCTATTCATTTACACAGGCTCACTTTCCAGCTGAAGGTTGGCCAGCTCACTGGCTCCATCCACCCTTGATCGCACCTCTGTTCTTTTCCATCTTCCACATTCTCTTCCCGCCCTCTCCTCCCTCCATCCCATCTCAGAACACTCCTGCCAGCATTTTACAACAGGGTTGGAGTTATGAGCTGGCCCTATCTTCTGATGTTGAACCACCAGCCTTCAAGTTTGGCACTTGATCCCACCCGGCTCTTCTGGCAGAGCTCGTCTCTCTGTGTGGCTGGGACCGGATGACTGGGGGCTCTCATGTAGGGTTTCTGTGTCTCCTTTCCCTAAGCGGCAGTGATCTCCAACCTTGTTGATTTTTGGTTTGTTGTATGAGAGTGTGTACCAGTGTGTTCGTGTGTGTGTGCGCGTGTGCATGCGCGCGAGTGCACGCGCATAGTGCATATTTGTATGAATGTATGTAGAAGTCACAGTCCAACTGGGGGGGTTCTTTCTAGAAACCATCTAATCTGTGTCTTTGAGACGAGGCCTCTCCTTGCAACCTGGAGTTAGCTCACAGGTTAGGCTAGGCTGGCTGACCAGCAAACCCTGGGGACATGGTTGGCTCTGCCTCCTAAGTGTTAGGATCATCTGTGGGCCAGTGCACCTAGTGGGAACTGAATACAGGCCCTCATGTTCTCAAGGCCTGTGTCCCCAGCCCTGGCCTGGAACTTTGTGCAGCCTTTGCTGCTGTTACATGACGTCTGGGGAAATGGTGTGCTGGAAGATTTGCTGAATAGATGGTTTTCTTTCACTGTTTAGCAGAAGTGGGTGAAGCCACCGGTTAATTCTAGGGCACTTTCCTTTCCTTGGCTGAATCTGTGCCTCTGTCCCGTCTCTAAGGTCATCCTTCCACAGGCCCAGCGCCATTCTGATGTCAACCCCAGGGTCTCTGCTCATCTCCCCGAGCCCTTAGTCCTTGATCCCACAACCAGACCATAGCCTGACATTCCTGCAGCTGGACCGGAATGAGGGGGACCTCGGGAGGGAATGCTGGGTAACAACGTGGGGAGGAGGCCTTCCCACTACCCCTCACCGCATCTGTCACCTGCAGTCCCAGGGACCCTGCGCTGCCCACTCTGCCTTTCCAAAGATGGCTGTGAGGACAACCGCCAGCAGGTGTGCCCCGCAGGCAGCTCCCACTGCTACAATGGAGTCCTCAGGCTCAGGGGAGGTAAGCCTGGACTCCGGGACCCTAGGAGAAGGGGCTAGGTAGGCACTGATATCCATGTGCCTGGAGAACCAGGGTAGACTGAGGTGAGCATTGAACCCTGGAGCTGGGTTTGCCTGAGACACGGAAGGTTCTGTGTCAGCTTTCTGTCCCCTCCCCCACTGGTCCTCTTTCCCTTGCCTAGACCAGGTCACCACCAATCTGAGGGTGCAGGGCTGCATGACCCAGCCAGACTGCAACCTGCTCAACGGCACAAAGGCAGTTGGGACCTTGGATATGCGTGAAACCTGTGGTCCTCAGTTGGGTGAGTAGGAAAAGGAGGCCGAGCCTCGTTGTAAAGTGTGGACCACCCCAAAGTCCCCAGCCAAGGCCAGCCATTCCCAAGAAATCTAGAGGCTTATTCATCACTCAGGGTAGGAGTGGGAGGACTCTTCCAGAGAGTCGCTGGAGGGCTAGAGAATGTGAGCCTACACAGCTGTCCAGCTGCAGGAGAGAAGAAAGGGGGCATGGTCAGGTCAGAACTAAAGGGCAGGCACAATGACAGATGTCTCAGGGAACGTTGAATGGAGTGTGGCCCTTCTGAGTGGAACAGAGGGGTGAGGGGAGGTTGAGAAGGGGGAGACTCCTCTGTGATGTTGTGCAACAGTCAGTTCAGGACCCCTTGCTGGGGCTCAGGTGGGAGTGAGGACTGTATTTGCATGGCCCTGGAAAAGGCTCGGTCTCCTGGCAGTGTTTGTTTTAGTGGGCACGTCTAAGTGCATGTTAGGTGTGTTCAGGTGAGTGGGGGCAAGTGTGTGTGTGTGTATGTCCACGCACAAGTGTGTGTGGAGGTCAGAGGACAATCTCAGGCATCACCCTCAGGAACTCTGCCCACTGCCCTTTGAGACGGTGTGTGTGTGTGTGTGTGTGTGTGTGTTTCTTGGGGGCCTGAAGTTTGCCAATTAGGCCAGACTTGATGGTCTATGAGCCCCAAGAATCCACCTTCCTCTGCTTCCTCAGCACTGGGATTACAGGCATATGCCCTACACCCAGCTTTTGAAAAGATTTTTTTTCAATGTGTGTGTTTACGTGTGCAGATTCCCAGAGAAACCAGGAAAGGGTGTCCCTGGAGCTGGTGTTCCAGGTGGCCACGAGGGGCCTGATGTAGGTGCTGGGAACCAAACTCGGGTCCTCGGCAAGAGGAGCCCCCTCACCAGCCCCAATATGTACCCAGCTTTTCCATGACTCTTGGGATCCTAGACTCAGGCTCTGTGTTGAAGTTTTTACCCAAGGACATGGAAAAGCCTGGGGATACATGCCGGATGTCACTAACACCAAGGGGGTTTCCGGGGACATGGAGCTGGGGAAGCCCCTGAGGTGGATCTGACCTCCCTGTCCAGGTCCACAGGCTCTGGACTGCAACAGTGTGGCCTTAGACACTATACGGAATGTGTCAGATCTGCACCTGAGCTGGACAACTGGCTGGAAAACCTGTAAGGCTGGCCAAGGGTGCCAGGAAACGCTGATGCTAATACAGAATGGTAAGAGGAGGCCCCTCCCACCGCACGCCCCTCCCACCGCACGCCCCTCCCACCACATCCTAGGAATGACTCTATAAACTAGCAGCCTAGCACTGGAATCTAGGACTCCCTCGTGAGCAGGTGAACACCCTCCCGGGCCGGGCCCTTCCTTGCTCTCTCTGTACCTCCTCCCACTAGGACACTGGAGGTCTGTGCTCACACAGCCTCCCTGTTTCCAGGACAAGAATTTCACATGGTTCTCACTAAGGGATGTACCAGTGATGCAAACAGAGAGCCTGGAATCACCAGGCACAGAACAGGCCCCGGAATCTCCATCGTCACCTATGTGCACGTGTGCCGCCACAAGGACTTCTGTAATGACCTGTCTACAACTAGAAATCTTTGGACTCCGCCCCCTGACACAGGTACCCTAGGCAGGATCCCTAGAGAAGGGAAGGGTTGTCTGGAGGAAAGACAGGGCTGTGGGGTAGAAATAAGTACAGAGAGGCTATTTATTTTACTTTATTTTTGGTGGTACTAGATTTGGAATTCTAGACAGGAACTCCACCACTGAGCCACACCCCAGCCCCTCACTGGGGGATTCTAGGCAGGGGCTCTACCGCTGAGCCACAGCCCAGCCCCTCACTGGGGGATTCTAGGCAGGGGCTCTACCATTGAGCCACACCCCAGCCCCTCACTGGGGGATTCTAGGCAGGGGCTCTACCACTGAGCCACGCCCCCAGCCCCTCACTGGGGGATTCTAGGCAGGAGCTCTACCACTGAGCCACGCCCCCAGCCCCTCACTGGGGAATTCCAGGCAAGCATCACTGAGGGACATTCCCACCTTTGGGGTTATTTAAAACCACCACCAACTCTACTGGCTGGCAGCCTGTTAACTCCCTCCATCTTTGTTCCTACTGTGCATCTCTTCTGCGGTTCCTCCTGTATCCGTGCTGGCTGTGCCTGTATGCCTCATTAACTCTCATGTGGGTTTTCTGTTGCTGAACCACCAACCTCAGAGAGGCCTTGCTCCCAGCTGGCTCCCTCTGCCTCCCTCAGGCATGTCTCTTCCTTATTGAACATTAGTCTAGAGCATTCCCTTCTTGTCGCCTGGTGCTTGGGAACAGGATCACGCTCTTGCCCTCGGTTATTGGCGGATGTTGGGGGCAGATGGGGGAGTGGGTGGAGAGATGCCTCAGCTGTGAGGGACCTATCCCTCTCCTAAGGACCCAAGTTCAGTTCCCAGCATTCCCCGTGGATGCTCACAGCAGCCTGTGCCTCTGGTTTAAACACCCTGACGCCTGGGCATCTACACATGCGTGCAACCCCACCCCCACCCTCCACCCCCACACAGATAACACATGACTAAAAGTAATAAACTTTTTTGAAAAGTTTGGAGTAATCAATGGTCCCTTGGGGGCACCCTGGCTCTTCCTATTTAAGTTGGCGTCTCTTGTCCAACCTCAGAACCTCCCCGCAGACCCCACCCAGGCATCTCTGGTGTTCTTGGCCCCCTCCCCTGCACTCTGTAATACCTTTGCTCCCCTGCTAGGACACAGCCCAAATACCCTGCCTCTGGGCCTACACAGAGAGACTGGGGCATACTGGGGGAATGAGTTGGGGGTCCTCTGACCCAAATCCAGAACCTTCCATCCCTCACTACATCTGCTGCTTCCAGTCCTAGGCAACGTGAGCTGCCCACACTGTCTTTCAACTCGTGGCTGTGAACAGGCGGCCCAGCAGGTGTGTCCTGCGGACAGCTCCCACTGCTATGATGGAGTCCTCAGACTCAGGGGAGGTGAGCCTGGACTCCAGCCAAGGGGATGAGGAGGACAGGAAGTTGAGATTTAGTGCCTGGGAAGTGAGGGAAAATTCAGAAGGGGCATAAGACCCAGAGGGATAAGTTAGTCGTCAGTCTCATTATCAGGGAAGGGCATTTATGGTAGCCTTTCCACTGTTGCTCAGAGTGTTAGTTGGGGTCAGTCTTGTAGGTCTCTGGACATTTCGGGCCCAGTCCCTACTCCAAAGACTTGAGTGATTTTGATGGCCTCTCCTGGAAGGCATCACCCTTCTTGTGGAGTGGGGGAGGGATGAGATGGGAGGGCCGTGGGGGAGGGGGTTGGAGGGTGAGAGAGAGGGAAGGAGGGAGAGGGAACTGGGATTGATATGTAAAACAAGAAAAGACACAGAGAGAGAGAGAGAGAGAGAGAGAGAGAGAGAGAGAGAGGCCCAGAGGGAAGCTGGGCTGGCCTCCTGCAGCTGGGCTGGCCTCCTGCAGCTGGGCTGGCCTCCTGCAGCTGGGCTGGCCTCCTGCAGCCTCTGAGGCCTACATGATCCTTGCGCCCTGCCCTGTCTCTCTCTTTCCATCGCCCCCTTTCCTAGAGGGCATTGCCACCAATCTGAGGGTGCAGGGTTGCATGCCACAGTCAGGCTGCAACCTGTTGGAAGGCACCAAGGCCGTTGGACCCATAGACGTGAGTGAGAGCTGCAGCCCCCAGTCAGGTGAGTTTTATACAGGAAAAGGAGGTGAATCCCCTGTACTACCATAGCCCGTGGCAAGATGATCCTTGTGGGGTGTGGGACACCCAAGCCATCCACCATGGCTAGCCAGGCCAGAGCATCACTCACTGAGATGCCTGCAAGCGAGTGGGGGAGGGAGATTCCCCAGGGAGGCTGAGGCAGCGGTGTAGAAAGGGGCCCACACGAAGGAGAGAGGGAGATGAAAGCATTGAGGGGAGTTTTGAATAAGTCTAGAATCCTCGAGCTTGTGTGGCCCATCCTTGTGCAAGGACAGGCTCAGCAGGAAAGTGCCAGGCCCACAGCCACCTTCTTGGTCGTCCCATTCTATACAGGCAGACCTGGCATCAGCCTGGGTCTCAGGGTCCACACTGACTACCTCCAGTCTCTCCATCACCTTCTCCTGTCCTCATCTAGGACACCCAGCAGCCTTGCTCCACTGCAAAGAAAATCAGAAAGAGAATCCAGGGGCTTCGGGTGTGGCAGAGAATGCAGGGGGCGGGGCTCCGGGGAAGTGCCCATACTTGGGCACTCACAGGCAGCCACAGGGCGCTCACTTGGCAGATGGGGTGGTGGTGGGGTTTCCTATGAGTATTGCAAGGGAAGAGCTTGAAACCCCAGCAGGCATGTAAACTGAGCCTAGGGGCCACATCCTAAACCATAGGCGGTGTTGGGAGAGGGGAGGGAAGAAACAGATGAATTCCCAGAGCCCCCTGCCTGGCCAATCCGTGAGGTCTGTGTCTCAAAATGTGGGTGATACCTCTGGTCCCCACATGCATATTCACACACTAAAACACACACACACACACACACCTGCACACATACAAACAGACAAATGCATTCTCACATACCTGCACACACACATGCATACTCACACATCTGTACACACACGTATTCTCACATATATGCATGATCACACACCTGCACAAAGACACATGTACACTTACACACATACACATGCTCATACACCTATACACAGGCATGTAAGCACAAATTAAAACTTCTGAGTTGAGTGGGTTCCTCAAATGTTCCGTTTCCAACTTATTTTTAGTACACTTACTTATTTGCGCGCGTGCGTGTGTGTGTGTGTGTGTGTGTTGGTGTGTACACACGTGGCCATGCTGTGTTAGTGGAGGTAAGAGAAAAACTTCCTCCACTGCGTGAGTTCTGGGGATTGAACTCAGGACTCCCGTTGTCAAGTTTGTTAGACAAGTACCTTAACCTCCTATCCCATGTTGTCCTTGTATGAGTTTTAATCTGTTTGCCCAGGTCGGTTGACTGAAGGGCTTGAGTTGGGTGTCACAGAGGCTGCTTGGGGGGGCAGCCAGTATCCCCGGAAGGAAGTCAATCTGGGAGACCCTCCATTACGAGTTTGCCCCTCCTCACGCAGGCGCTCAGCCACTAGAATGCAGGAGTGGGCAGACAGAAGGCCTGAGGAAAGTATCGGCGCTGCCCTTGGAATGGACAACCGGCTGGCAGACTTGTAAAATGGGCGAGGGGTGCCAGGAAACCGTCTTGCTCATAATGAATGGTGAGAGGAGCCCCTCGGTGTGAGACCTCCCCTTCCGGCTCAGCCCTGGCCCCGAGTTCTGCCCGGAATTCCCGAAGCCACACCCCCGTGCCCAGCCCCCACCCACCGCCTATGTCACCACCCCCAGCCCGCCCGGCTCCCCGAGGCACAGCATCCCACCACCACCCCCTCATTCCCACGCTCCGGTCTCCCTCCTTCCTCCCAGGACCCGATGTGAACCTGGTGCTCTCCAAAGGTTGCACAGCGGACAAAGACCACAAGCCCCGAGTCACCCAGCACAGGACAGGCCCCGGCCTCTCCATCATCTCTTATACCCACGTGTGCCGCCACTGGGACTTCTGCAATGACCTGTCCTCCACCCACCCTCTCTGGGTCCCACCACCTGCCACAGGTGCTGGGAGGGGGTGCTCACAGGACTAGGAGAAGGGATGGCAGAATGAAGGACCTAGCTGTGTGGTTCTAAAGGGAACACTAAGGGTGTGGATTTATGAGCTGTCCCCTGCCCTCTCCCGCCCCTACCCGTCCCTCCCCCCTGCCACCTGGACCTCTGGCTCCCTCCCAAGCCTCCCCCCCCCCAAGCTCCATCTATTCCTTTCTCCTCCCACATGTCCTGACATCTTACCTGACCTCAGAGCTCTTCTCAGAGCAGTGAACTGGGTGGCTTTTCTTCTCTGTGTGCGCGCATGCGCGTGTGCACAAGCGTGGAGGCTGGAGAACAGGTGACATTCATCAGGAGCCACATGCCTTATTATTTAATTTGAGGCAAGGTCTTGTATTGACCCGGAGCTCACCCACTAGATTAGACTGACCAGTGAGCCCCAGCGACCACCAGCTCGTCACAGCCTCCCCAGCTCTGGCATTAGGGATCTTGCAGAGCCATCTTCCCGGCATGCTGGGTGGCTTTTCAGAATTTAAATCACCCCAGAGTCGTCAGTCTGATCCTGCTCCTCCTGAATAGCCCTTTTTCTCTATGCTGGGGTTAATCGCTAATGCTTCTTTTCTGTTTGTCACATTTCTTCTCCCCTAAGGATAGGGGCCTGTAACTTCCCACTGTCTTTACCTGGTGTCTGTTATGCAGCGTATGAGATTTGTCTTCTCTGGAATAGTTCTCCCTTGTCGTCCTTGACCATTTAATAGACTTTGAAGTCACTGGTACCTTCCAGAATCCCCCACCCATCCCTGACCAAGTCCATGCATCTGTCCAGTCACACAGAAAAGACACTGCTGGTCTGCAGGCTCCAGTCCTTGGCTTGGGGTCCCTGACTTCAGGCGTGGTGCCCCTCGGGACACAGAATTCCTGTCCTTGAGCCCCCATGAGACCCAGAGGGCACTGAGTAACTTCATTCTTGGGACCACTGGGCTCCTCCCTCTGCCCCTCACCACGACTGTCATCTCCCAGGTCCGGGGAGCCTGCACTGCCCACTCTGCCTTTCTAAAGATGGCTGCCCACTGAATGGTCCCAAGCAGGTCTGCCCTGCAGACAGCACATACTGCTATGGTGGAGTCCTCAGCTTCAGGGGAGGTGAGCCTGGACTCGGGGACTCTGTGGGACTGAGCGTGGGAGGCTGGGAGTGGATATCTGCATGTCTGGAAGGAAGGGTAAACTGAGTGAAGGAATGAGCTCCCGGGAGGGTGGGGCCAGGAGGGCCGGGAGGGAGCTCTCATGATCTGTGTGTGTGAGAGCATCTCTGTGTCCCCCGTCTACTACGTTAGGAGGACTCGTCTCTGATCTGAAGGTGCAGGGTTGCATGTCCCAGCCTGGCTGCAACCTTCTCAATGGCACGCAGACAATTGGAGCCATAGATGTGCATGAGGACTGCAGTTTTCCATTAGGTGAGTCACTTGTGGGAAAACAACCCTATCCTGCAGCCTCCATGCAAAAGGATACTTGTGGGCTACCCCAAACCATCAACAGAGGTCATCAACAGCAGCCATTTAAATGAGGTCTCTGCAAGTGTGTGCCTGGGAGGAGATTGGAGGTGGGGGGGGGGAGGACCAAAGAGAGACCGTGGTCCAGGGCACAAGGGGCCAGTGGTGGGTGAGGTGGCTTAGTGGGCATAACCCTTACTGACCTGAGTTCTGTCCCTGAGACCCACATGGTAGAAGGAGAGAATGCAGACAATTGTCGTGACGTGTGCTTACCCACAGCACACACGCATGTAATAAGTACATGGGTCTGTCCCCGGTGAGCCTGTCTGTGGTGTTGGAGATGAGTGGAAGGAAGCAAGATGGTCGCCCTGCGTGGGGCCCTGTGCTGTTCTCAGAGCTGTGACACCCGCAGGGCTCATTCTTGAGAGCAAGGGCCTGTTTCTGACTGGATCTCATTTTAATTTAACTGTCATGGAGTCATTGTGCAGACGGGTGGGGTTCATCATGGCATTTTCATTCAACTATGTCGTGTACTCTGACCTTAATTACCCCCTTGTCCCCTCTTTGCCCCAAATAGTCTCCTTTCTTCTTTCACATGGTAAATGAGCAAATGCATGTGTGAATGTGTATACTTGAGTGTGTGTGCATGCGTGCGCACGTGTGTGCGAGTGCATGTGCGTGTGTATGTGCATGTGTGAATGTGTATACGTGAGTGCGTGTGCGTGTGTGTGAATGTGTATTCTTGAGTGCGTGCACACGCGCGCGTGCGAGTGCGTGTGCGTGCGCGTGTGTGTCCTGACATGAGAGAATAAATGAAATGTTTGTGAAATCTGGCTTATTTCACTGAATGCAATGATCCCCAGTTCCATCTCTTTTTAAAATGATGTTTCTTTCTTGTTCATTTAAATTTATTAACCTGCATGTCATTACTACTAATGTAATGCCCTTATGTATTTGTGGGTGTGATGAGTGTGTAGTATATGCTCACTAGGCTGGTTAGCCCAAACTCCCAACATCCACCTGTCCCCACTTCCAAATGCTGGGGTTTTGCGGGATGCCAGGGATGTGAACTCAGATCCTCTTACTTTTATAGTAAGCACTGATGTATGAAGCTTTGGGCTCTATCCCCAGTTCCAAGTAAACTAGCAACAGTAGCACAGATACCTGTCATCCAGGTGCTTGAGAGGTAGAGGCAAGGTCATCCCTGACTATGCAGCAAGTCTGAGACCAGCCTGACTTACATGAGTCCCTGTCTAAGAGGAAAAAAGCTCCACAGTGTGTGTATGCCATCTATTTCCACAAGCCAGGCTTGGGGTAACCTTGGGTCTCCAACTTCTACTTTGGCAAACTCCATCTTCAGCCATCCACACCCTTAGTTCTGGAGACCACTGTGGCCTTGCTTCGTAGAAATGAAAAGCAGAGAGAATCAAGGGGCCTTTGGGTATGGTGCAGAAGGCTAGCGTTAAGTGGGGACCTAGAGCATCCCCACGCTGTACATAAGTGTGTTCCCTGAACACACAGGAGAGCCGTGGTGGGCCTCAATGGTAGCAAGGCCCATGGCAGGGAAAGGGGATTCAGTAGGCGTCCTGGCTCAGCTGGAAGTATGACTGAGAGACTAAAAGGAGGGCCAATTTAGAGAGGAGGGCCAGAAACAGAATATGGGCACTTCACCCCATAACCTGTGCAGACTGGCTCACATCACTCACTCAGTTAACAGATAGCCACACACAGCATTGACTCTGGCAGGGAAAACAGATACCCTGGGTTAATCAACAGAGTTGCAAAACAACTTTTATGGGCACGCATTTTGCCAAAGATTAACCTATGGAAATTCCTTAAGTTCCTCTAGGCATCCCAACCAGTCAGCTTTGAACCCGTACCCACCCCTCACCCTATCCTTTCGTTTTAGTCTTTATAAACCCCTTGCTTAGAGGCTCAGGACCTTCTCCTGCAGCTGCTGCATCAGTCTGTGGGACGAGGTCCCTGCCTAGGCTTGAATTCAATAAACCCTGTGCTAGCATTTGGGGAGTGGGCTCCTTGATGGCCTCTCTGAAGGTCCTGTGGATTGGGCATAACGATGGCCTTCTCTGCCCCTGCCTCTGTTCCCTCTTCTGCCTGTGTCTCTAATGTGAGACCTTCAGGAGGGGATTGAGTGAGTGCAGCCAGCATTAATCTTTAGGTTGGCTCCTTTCCAGTGAGATCTGGGGACTTGAGGGCATGGTCTGGATGTCACGGGCACCTTCTTCACCATGACGGAAGATGGTGGGAGGGGACAACTTGTTGCTGCCTGTGAGTGAGGTCTCACCAAGCAGAGTCAATTCAGTACTGAGAAGGATTCTCTCTCTCTCTCTTCCCACCCCCCCTCTCTCCCTCTCCCCGCCTCTAGTTGCAGGGGCTCTGAAATGCCAGCATGGGACTTTGGAGATCACAAAGGATGTATCCCAGCTGCCTCTCCAGTGGACAGCCAGCCAGACAACCTGTGATGTGGGTGAAGGCTGCCAAGACACCCTGATGATGATAGAGAATGGTGAGAGGAACCCTCAAACAGTCACACCCCCTTTTCCTCGGCTCCGCTCCCTTAGATCTGTTGGGCAACAGCCCTGACCTCCACCCTAGCCTGCCCTTTCTATCTGTGCAGGAAAGCAGGTGTACTTGGCTCTCACGAAAGGCTGCACAACCAACAAGGACCAAAAGGCCAAGGTCACAGAGCACAGGACTGGCCTGGGGCTGTCTGTCACCTCCTATACCCGAGTATGCCGCCTAGGAGACCTCTGCAATGACCTGTCCACCACAGCCCCTCTGTGGGCTTCAGCCCCTACCACAGGTGCCGGAGGGCTTTAGGGGAAAGCTGGCTGCTGGGGAGACAGGAGGGAAGGCTCCAGCTCCTGATGGTGCGTGCTGAGGGAAGTTCCGGTACCAAGTCTTTCTTGCTGGACAGCAGCTAGCCAGCTCACCTCCTCCACTCTGGCCTTGTTCTCTCCCCAGCCCAGGGTCCCAGCCCTCCCCTCTCCTTGCCACGTGCATCCTACCCTCTGCACTCTTCCCTGGGAGCCACAACTCCCAGCTCCCCTGCCTGACCTCTTCTAGCAACCCTGAAGGAAGTGTATTTCTTTTTCTTTTAAGATCTTATTTTTAGGTGTGTGTGTGTGTGTGTGTGTGTGTGTGTGTGTGTGTGTGTGTGTGCAGGGCCTGCAGAGATCAGAAGAGGACATTGGATCCCCCAGAGGGGGGGTTACAAATTGTGAGCCTCCCAAAGTGATGCTAGGAGCCACATTTGGCTTTATCCTTTTTTTCTTAATTTATTTTACATCCAGGAGGCTGGTTTCCACGGCCTCCTCTACTCCCAGCCTCTCTCCCCCACCTCCCCTCATCCCCACACCCCAATCCATTCCTCCTCCATTTCTGTTCAGGAAAGAGTCAGCCTCCCATGGAAACCAGCAGAGCAGGGCACAGCCGGTTGCTGTAAGGCTAAGCCCCTCCCCTTGTGTTAGGCTGGGCAAGGCGACTCAGTATGAGGAGTAGGGTCCCAAAGGCGGGCAAAGGAGTCAGAAACAGCCCCTGATCCCCATTCTTTTTTAATTTAATTTACTTTTTATATTCCAATCCCAGTTCCCTCTCCCCCCTCTCCTCCAGCTCTCCCCACTTCCCCCCACCCCACTCCCATCTGCTCCTGGGAGAGGGTGAGGCCTCCCCTAGGAAGTCTACTAAGTGTGTCCCATCATCTCCTTGAGGCAGGACCAAGGCACCTCCCCACCCCACACCCCTGTGTCTAGGCTGACAAGCTGTCTCTCCATACAGCATGGGCTCCACTAAGTCTGTGCATTAGAGTTAGATCTTGGGCCCACTGCCAGTGGCCTCATACATTGTCCCAACCACACCATTGTCACCTCTCTTCAGGACTCTAGTTCAGTCTTATGCAGGTTCCCCATCTGTCAGACCTGAGTCAGTGATCTCTGGCTAGCTCAGGTCAGCTGATTCTGTGGGTTTCCCCATCATGGTCTTGACTCCTTTGTTCACATTATCTCTCCTCCCTCACTTCCATTGTCCTCCAGGAGCTCAGCCCATTGGTTAGTTGTGGATTTCTGCATCTGCTTCCATCTGTTTCTGGGAGAGGGTTCTAGCTTCTCTGGGGTTGTGAATTATAGGCTAGGTGTCTTTTGCTTTATGTCTGGTATCCACTTATGAGTCAGTACACACTATATTTGTGTTTCTGGGCCTGGGTTACCTCACTCAGGATGGTTTTATCTAGTTCTGTCCATTTGCCTGCGAATTTTAGGATGCTTGTTTCTTACCTCTGAGTGTAAATGTACCACATTTTCTTTATCCATTCTTCAGTTGAGGGACATCTAGATTGTTTCCAAGTTCTGGCTATTATGAATAATGCTGCTATGAACATAGTTGAGCAAATGTCCTTCTGGTATGAATGTTCCTTCTATTGCAGGGTCTTGAGGTAGGTTGATCCCTAATTTTCTGAGAAATCGCCATACTGATTTCCAGAGTGGCTGTACAAGTTTGCACTCCCACCAGCAGTGGAGGAGTGTTCCCCTTTCTCCACATCCTCTCCAGCATAAGTGGCCATTGGTGTTTTTGATTTCAGCTGTTCTGATCAGTATAAGGTGGTATCTGAGAGTTGTTTTGATTTGCATTTCCCTGATGGCTAAGGAAGTTGCTGCTCCCAATTCTTAACTGCTCAGCCATCTCTCTGGCCCTGTTCCGTTTGTCTTTTTCTTTTCGTTTATAGTTTTGAATTGTGTTGCCCGGGTGCACCAGTGTGTCTGGAGTACAACCCAGCGGAATCTGCTCTATCCTCCAACATGTGGGACCTAGGGATTGAACTCACGATGTCCACATTGGTGGCAGGTGTTTCACCTGCTGAGCCAACTCACTGACCCACGGGGGTTGGGGGGCGATTGACCACCCCCAGCCTTATACTCTGACCCTGAGCAGCCCTGTTTTTCCTGCTTATTTTCCCTCTTTCCACCTGGCTGGCTTTGGCTCACTGGCCTCTCCTTCGGGCTGTCGTGTTCTTCTTCCTGGGTTGGGGTTTTCCTCTACCCTCGTCTGGTGTTAAACTGGCGGGCTTCATGTTTCTACTTTCTAGAATGTTTTGTGAGGAGGGGATTTTCCTCAAACTATTTAGTAAAAGTTGTGAGTAAAGCCACTGGTTGCTTGCACGGTCCCTCCTCCCTTTACTCTCTGAAGTCTGTGTGTAGCCCCAAAGGGCCCTACGGGCTCTCCCTGTACATAGCCCCAGGGTCTCAGCATGCTCTCCCTGCTCTCCTAACCACAGCCCCAGTTCCCTGTAGTCAGGCCTGCATGAGAGGGAGACTGAGGCATGTTGGAGAACTAAGAAGGGGTCATTGATCCAAACCCAGAGCCTCCCACTGACCCTCACTACCCTCTGTTGGTTCCCAGCACCAGGGACCCTGCGCTGCCCACTCTGCTTTTCCAAATATGAGTGTGAGAATCCACCCCAGCAAGTGTGCCCTGCTGGCAGCATGCACTGCTACCATGGAGTCCTCAGGCTCAGGGGAGGTAAGCCTGGACACGGGAACATGGGGACCCTGGGGGACTGAACACGGTAGGCTCGGAGGGGGAGATCTGGGTATCTGGGGAAGAAGGGTAAAGTCAGCAAGGGAATATGCCTCAAGGCATGTGAAACCGGCCTCCCAGAGCTGGGCTTGCCTCCTGCATGTGTGAGCTCTGTGTGTGTGAGCATCTCTGTCTCTCCTCTCTCCTCCCATCCTAGGGGAGATCACCTCCAATCTGAGGGTGCAGGGCTGCATGTCCCAGCCAGGCTGCAACCTGCTCAACGGCACCCAGAAAATTGGAGCCATGGATGTGCGTGAGGACTGCAGTCCTCCGATAAGTGAGATGAATGTGGGGAAAAGTAAGTCCCACCTTGTGCTGTGACCTCCAGGCAATGCGGGGTGTGGGACACTGGAAGTTATCAACCGAGCCAGCCACCAATGCCGTTTAAATGAGCACCAGCCTCTCGGTATTGTGCACAGGAAGAGATTTTCCAGGGTTGCAGGAGGTTGGGGGGCAGAGGGCCAAAGAGAGACTTCCGGTTGAAAGGGAAAGGGAGGGAGCGCAGCCCAAGGCCAGGAGACCGGAGAGCCCATTGAGGAGAGCTCTGAAGAAGTCTGGGAACAGTGAGCCTGGGAGACCTGTCCCAGAGGGAGGTGGTTTGAAAGACGGAGGACGGTTGTGGTCAGCATCCTGGCACCTGGTCCGCTTCTTTTGGAATACAAGTGTTTATTTCTGACTATATTTCCTTTCTTTCTTTCTTTCTTTCTTTCTTTCTTTCTTTCTTTCTTTCTTCCTTCCTTCCTTCCTTCCTTCCTTTCCTTTCTTTCTTCCTTCCTTCCTTTCCTTTCTTTCTTTCTCCCTTCCTTCCTCTCTTTTATTTATTTTTTTTGGGGGGGGAGGGCAGCCTTTTGAGACGGGATTCTCTGTGTAGCTTTGGAGCCTGTCCTGGAACTAGCTCTGTAGACCAGGCTGGCCTTCTGATTTCATGTTCATGTGCCCTGACCTCTGGTCACCCCAGATATCCAACTTCACGTAGATGACCCCCCCCCATTCTCTCCACCTCCTCTTTTGTCCCCGTTCATGAGACCTTGCTCCGTGGGAAAGAGAAGCATAGAAAGAATGGATGGGTCTAGTAGGAACTTTCTTTGGGTTGCCAACCAGCTCCCAAATAAAGACATGGAGACTTAGTAGTGGTTATGAATGCTTTGCCTTAGCTTCAGCTTGTCCCACTAACTCTTAGAACTCAACCTGTTTGTATTTATCTCAAGGCGTTTTGCCTTGAGGCGTTTTATTTTTCCTTCGCTCTGTATGCCCGGCTTTCCTGCTTCCTCCCTGGCTGGCTGTCCGGCCCCTGGTATCTCCCTGGCATCTGTTTTCTTCCCCCTGCCCCGTCCCACCAAGCCTAAATTCCTCCTCCTACTTACTCTCCCTGCCCAGAAGTCCTGCCTATACGTCCTCCCTTGCTATTGGCCATTCAGCTTTTTATTAGATCAGGTGCCTGCAGTTCAACAAATATTTTCCGCAGCATAAACAAATGCGCCACATCTCAGGGGCTTCCTAGGCTGGGTGGAGGAGATACCTCAGCTTCTCAGCTCGGTCACCCTGAGCTGGGGCAGTACAGAGTGGGACCCACAACTGGCAGGGAGTGATGAGCTTCATCAAGCAGGTGACCCCCCACCCCACCCCCACCTCGTCTTAGGCTTCCGGGTAGAAACGGCTTGTCAGGGACTGGGGAGAGTGTAGATGGATTTTTCTCTTTGTGCTACCAGCTCACAGACAATGACATGGAGACTAATTATTGATTCTGAAAGCTCAGCCTCAGCTTAGGCTTGTTTCTAAATAGCACTTAAAACTTAAATTAACTCATATTTTTAAAATCTGTGTTCTTCCACACACCCTTTGCCCCCTCTCTCCACCATGCCATCCTCCTTTGTCCCCTCTCTCCACCATGCCATCCTCCTTTGTCCCCTCTCTCCACCATGCCCATCCTGGGTCTCCCCCTGGCTGATGACTCTCCCTCTCTTCTTCCCCAAGCTCACTCTGTCAAGAAGTCCCTCCTATCCCTCCTGCCTGGCTATGGGTCATTTAGCTTTGTTACTAAAGCAATCACAGTGACATCTTCACACAGCATACAGGAATGTTCCACAACAGGATGGGGACTCTGTGGGTAAGAGCATTTGCTGTGCAAACATGAGGATCTGAGTTCAAGTCCATGGCATCCACCTAAACGGTGGGTGTGGCCACAAACACACCTGTAACCCAGTGTTGTGGGAGGCAGTCAGGAGACACTTGCTGATTGCCAGCCTGTCTCCAGGGTGAAATGGAGCTGAGCTGCAGGTTTGGAGGCTTTGACTTCTGAGTCAAAGGGATGTCACAGCCGGGGCACAGGGAGTATGACTTGGAATGTGCTTGCTGCCCTTAGCCCAGAAGCTGGGGGCCAGCACGGAGGCTCCCTGACTCTCACAAACCCTGGCGACTTTCCTCTCCACAGGTACATGCTACAAAGGGACCATGTTGAGGCTTGGCGTTGGCTTTGCTAAGGAAGCTGTCCAGTGGTCTGTATCGACGACCGAAGTGTGTGAACCTGAGGAGACATGTCAGGAGACGCTCCTGCTCGTAGACATAGGTGCCTGGGATGAGATGGAGGGCTGCACTCCTCCATGGGAACGGCCCGCCCCTGTCGCGCATTCTGTGTCCTGCAGTTCCCGCCCAGCTCCCCTCATGTCTGGCTCTCCTCTGTGCCATGTCTTGCTGAGAGCGGTTGTGGGACAACCAAAGGGACCCTGCTCGCCTCCATCCTTAAAGGAGGATTGCTCTGCTGGGTGTGACTCAGCTGGTACAGTGCCTGTTTAGCATCCCTAAAGCCCCGAGTCCGATCCCTACCGCCAGGTAAACTGGGCACACCTGTAATCACAGGACTGGGAAAGAAGAGACCGTGAAACTGAAGTTCAATGCCGTCCTCATCTGTATAGTGGGTTCAAGACCAGGCTGGCCTATCTGAGACTCTCAGAGAGCAAGACAGAGTGAGGCAGAGAGCTAAAGAAACAGAGAGAAGAGAGAGAGGGAGGAGGTAGCCTAGCACCTGTGTGGGGCTCAACCCTGTGCAGCTTACAGCTAAGGGGAAGAGGAGAGAGACACAGAGCACAGGGGTCGCGTGGGTGTGAAGTCGGGTGTGGAGAGGAATCCAGCGGGGCAGGAGTGAGGGTGAGCACAGTGAGGCTGCAGCCTGCGGGAGGGGCTCAGGGTCCCTGTGTGCACACTGTGCGCCAGCAGAGCCGCAAGGGGCGGGGCAGAAGCAGCTTGAGCTTCAGGCTTTGGCTGACAGGGAACATGCTGTGTCCCATTGTCCCTGGGGATTGTGCTCTCCCTGTGACTGGGAGCATCAAGGGACCCAAGAACTGGGCTCCTGGGCCTTGTCACATTCCCCTTCCTAGCCCAGCTCATACTCTCTTCTGCCTGCAGGACCAAGGACACTCCTAATAGGGAACAAAGGCTGCACTGGGCCTGAGGCAGAGGACGATGTCGGTGTCTCCATATACTCCAGCCGGCCTGGAATGCTGGTAGCTTCCTACTCGCGCATTTGTTCCTCCAACCTGTGCAACGATGCCAGCAACAGCAATGTCCTGCTGAGCCGCCTCCCACGTCCGAGTATGGACATGCCAGGGACATGGAGGGACCCGGACATGTGGGAGTTAGGCTGGTGGCTGTAGTTGAGAGCATGCAGCACACGCCCCGATCCTTCTCTCTGTCCTCAGCTGTCCCTCCCCCTGGCGACCTTCTGTGTCCTGCCTGTGTGGAGTTCTTTGGCACCTGCTCTGGGAGCACCAACTTTGTCACCTGCCCTCAGGGCACCTCTCACTGTTACAAGGGTGACATTGTGCTTCAGGGGGGTGAGTGCTAAAGGTTGGGCTATAGGAGCCATGGCTCCAGCAGTTGAGAATGGAGGGTTGTACCCTAACTCCTAGGTCTGGGGGGGGGGGGATAAGAGGTGAGGCTACCTCAGACGGAGGAGGCTGGGCCTGACCCCTGGTCTGAGGGAGGAGGCTGGGCCATGACCCCTGGTCTGAGGGAGGAGGCTGGGCCATGACCCCTGGTCTGAGGGAGGAGGCTGGGCCTGACTCCTGGTTTGAGGCAGGAGGCTGGGCCTTTAATCCTGTCAGGAATAGAGCTGGGACCTGAGCCCAGGGTGGAAGAAGGAAGGTGGGTTGGAGTCAGGGTTTGGCGGAGAATGAGGGGGCTGGGATTCCTGGGTCTGAGTTCCCCAGCAGCACGGGACTGTAGCGTCCCCGACTAGTGACTGTTCTTTGCCCTCCAGGTGGGGTGTCTTCTACAGTGAGCCTTCAGGGATGCATGTCCTCACCTGCCAAAACCTTACTGGGTGGCTCCAGAAACATCGGTGTCTTCTCCGTAAAGGAGCTCTCTGAGGGCACGAAGGATGGGCTTGAGGAGGAAAAGCCTCTGGAGGGAGGTGCTCCGGCCTCTTCCCTCACGTGGCTATTATGGCTGGTGCTCTTCTTAGCCCTTTGTCTGGAGGGCTTTGTCCTCTCTGCTGAACCCATTTCCCTGTGACTCTTCACCCCTGTTGGCCCCCACACCCAGCTGCCCTCTGACGTCATAACCTAAGACCTTTGCATAGGAGAGTCGCTGAATTCACCCTGCACCATAGCTGACATCCACGTGTTGTCCACGCCTGTGAAATAGTAAAGTCGTTGTTGTTTCTCCGTGTACTGGGCTTCTCTACATGAGGGGATGAGGGCACTCAGTAGGATCCATTGAGAGCCCTGCGGCCAAGGCCCGGCCTCCCTGTGTCTGCCCCATATCTTCTCAATGTGTGGGAGCAGAGCCTCATCTCAGGGCGCATTGCCCATGGTGGCTCTGTGAGAGAGGAGTGGTGTTGCCAGGAGCAGTTGTGCCTCACTGTCAAGAAAAATCCTAAACCATTTTAAATGCCATATTCTGTAGGTCTTTGAAAGGTTTGAAGAATGCCTATCCATCTCATATACTTCTCTATACATCTAGAAAACCTAACTAGCATTATAAGTCTTGACTATTATAGGGAAAACCTAACTAAAGTTTTGAGTATTATAGGTAACTATCTAAAATCTGCACTAAATCATACAATACATTTCTAAGTGAACTATATAAACACAGTACCTAAACAAGAGGAGAAATATACATATCACAAAATTGACCTTAAATTTGTATCAATAAATGACAGTCCATTCCAAAACAGAGTATTCATATCTATACCATAATCCCCTTTTTATCTTTAAAAAGAGATTGGTTGTGATCATTAACCATTTATAACCAACCCCACATATTGAAAACAAACATTTATAAATAATATTTGGGTTTTTGGGTGTCATTCTTTCCAAACTGCTTCCTGCTGGTAGGGGGCGCTGTGTTGGGGATTCTAAGAAGATGCAGAAATCCTGGCTGTAGTCTCTAAGGCTGCTTTGTCCCAGCTATTTGAATGTTGGATCACCAGCGACTCTGTTTCAGGGGGTCTGGCTTGATCAAACCACATTAGTCTGGAAGGAATCCACAGCTTTCCATTTTCTGTGGAAACAAAAATAAAAATCCTTTTCCCAAGTAACCTGTCCTTAGACATAAATTTGGATGTCAAAGCATTTTTAAAATATATAAATTAAATTAATCCAGCAGCATTTGTTTTAACAGTTGTTATTTCCTCAGCAGTCAAAGGATACAAAGACAATATAATACCGTACAGTATCCAGATTCTCTCTGTGCTTTCCATATTTACATGGCTTTTTTATTACTCTATTTCTTCTACTTCTATTTTTCATTTTTTGAGACAGGGTTTCTCTGTGTAACTTTTATCTGTCCTGGAATTAACTCTGTATACCAGGTTTACTTTGAAATCACAGACATCTGCTTGCCTCTGTCTCCTGAGTGCTGGAATTAAAGGCGTGTGCCACCACACCCAGCTACTCTGTCTTTTTATTATTCTTTTTTAAACCATGTATCTTGTATCTTTTTCTCTCCCAAGCCTACTTATATTTTAAAACACATTGTAAAACTTTAGAGATTTTTCTTAATCTGAATCTGTCTTTACTGTAAATCTTTATTTCTGGTCAGGAGTCTTTATCTGGTAAACAACAACATTGCTAAAATGAAAGCCATAGCTGTGTTAGCCACGGGCTATCCAAGATGGCAGTGGGTACTTTTACCACCAACCAGAACTGAGAGCTGTGCTCACTGCCTTGGTCTACACTGCCATCCAGCAGCATGCTACCAGCTTGGAGATGTAGTCACTGCCATTGCCAGCTCTCATACACACCATTCAGTGGCTAGTAGAGCTCTTTAAAAGCTGTGCAGGTTTTTGCCACTTAGCTGAATCAGGAAACTTCCCTTAAAGGAGCCACACAAGTCACTTCTTGTCTCTAGCAAAACAAAGCCCAACCGAGAAAATGCTGCTACCAAGAAATCTTGTCTTTGTTCTTTTGTTTCTAAAACCTCTTTTTAAGCTTTTGTCAAGTTTTAAGTGAAAGTTCTTAGCCATGTTGAAGGCGCCACTATATTATGTGCAGGTTTTCCCTGCCAGTCTGAACCCACTGCCGTGCCTGCCCCAATTAACACACAGACAGATACCGTATTAGATATAATTCTGTTGGCCAGTTACTTGTTTCTTATCGGCTAGCTCTGTCTTAATTATTAGCCCATTTCTATTAATCTAAGTATTTCCACGTGGTCTTATCTTACCAGAGAAAGGGGCTGGCATTCCACTCTCTGTCCTCCATCTTAGATCTCCTCCCTACTACTTCCCGAATCCTTGTCTCCTAGTCCCACCTATCTTGCTTTCCTATTGGCCAACAGTGCTTTATTCGTTAACCAATAAGAGAAACATATTTACAGAATGACATCTCCCATCAGATTTAAGGTATCTAAAAAAGGAAAAATGCTTCCTATTTCTGTCCTTCATTATGCTATTGCCATACTAAGACTTCAAAAGTTGAGAGTTTTAACACTATTCAATGGAGTTTTGATAAATTATTAACCTAGCTCTGGTGACATTGATTGTGTTATCATAGTCATAAGCTCGTGATTTTAAACTCCCTATGGTAGACGTCTAAGTATAGACTTAAAGGTGCTCCTCATTGCACTAAAACATCCAGATAATCTCTATACGCCCCTCTTTCTGGAGGAAGGAGTGTCATGCTTCTAACCAAAGTCATTTTGGGTTCCAAGGTTCTACTCTGACTCAAAGATGCCAGTCTACTGCCTTTTCTGCACTGTGGATATAACTATCCAGCCTTCAGTCTCATCAAAGACCTGAGAAGGACAAATAATTTCAAAATAAGCAGGAAGTGCAAGCAAGTAACTTCCAAAAAAAAAAAAAAAATGTAAGAAATGACAGCTGACTGGAGAGTCACTCAAGGTTTGTCTGCAATGTTGTGGCATCCAACTTTGGCGTACAGGCCTAGACTATCTGGCAGACCTTTTTCATAAACAGAAAAATTTGAAGAACTGTCCTACACTGTCTTGGCAAGGTTTGGCAGTCACTTTTTTGTGTGTCCAGATTGGACAGTGTACTTATTGTCAACTGTCTGGGCAAGGGCAGTTTCTTCCCCAAATAGGCCAGTTTTGTCAAAGTATATTGGTGCTGCTATGTAGGCAGCTCCAAGAAGCCTGGACTAGATGAGACTCAGGGTTGGGGAAGCGTGAGGAAAGTGAGGGGAGGGAGAGAGGGGCAATGGGACAGCTCAGGAGGGAAGGGTATCCTGACTTAATGGGAAGTCGGGTGATACCTGAAGCTGGTGGAGGCTGGTCTCCCTGCAGAATGTAGCAGTCCTGCTCCTCTCCTGAGGGAACATCCTAGCAGGGCTACCTGTTTCTTCTGCTCTGCTCAGCTCTGGCCCAAGATGTTACTTCTTCTTCTGCATCACTCTGCTAAAGGGGCAACCAAACCGCTGCAGAAATGCAGCAGTCTCCTCCAGCTCAGCTGAAAAGTTACTATTTTTTCTGCTCCAGCCCCAAGGGAACTTCCCAGCAGATGTAACTGTTTCTTCTGTTTTCTTGTTGCTGTTGCTGCTGTTGTCCTCATTGTTTTCTGCTCAGCCCGACTAAGGGAACATCTCGGCAAATGTCCTGCTTCAAATCAGCAAAGGGAGATCTTCACCCAAAACTCTTTTGAGAAAGAGATTTATTTAGGAAGGTGGAGTCCAGGACAGTGACTGCCTCTGCCAGGGTGGGAAAGGACAGCCAGCAACTGAACAGGCAAGGGCTTATATAGGGCTTCTTAGGGGTGGAGATTTCCCAGGAAGAAGATTTTTCTGCCCCAACTTCTCCACACTAGGAGCTTCAGCGGGTCTCTCTGGGCCAGAGAGAAGGTGGGGGGTTTGGACATCAGCAGCTTGAAGGGATGTCTGGTCCAGAAAGTGAAAGCAAGTGAATAATAAATCTTGATTCTAGAATCAAATCACTGGACTCAACAGAATCCCCTAACCCACAGCCCCATCACCAGACTAGAAATCCCATGTTTCTTCTGTGCCGGTGACAGTCCTGTGGGAGGAAAAAGGAGAGGACTCTGATTTTCCCACTGGACCCTGCAACCTGCAGGGGAAACAGTGTAGACAACACTCAACACTTTTATAATGGAGGAAGAAAGGAATGAATAATAATAACAATAACAGTAATAATGGTAAATGAATGACCTAGAAACTAGAACCTGGAATTTACACACAGAGTACTGAGAGGCCTGGAAGCAGAGACATCTGTCTTTCCCCCTACCAACTCCTAAAGTACCTGAGGAACCACAGTACATGATCCCGAGGACAAGTCTGGATAATATATCTTGCATGGGCCACTGTCACATGCTGTCCTCAGGAGAAGGTCTGACTACAGCAGGCCCAGCCTGAGAAGTGACATGCCCTGAGTTCTATCTGGCTGGCCCTGCTTTCCCTCTCAGGGACTGGACATTTCCACTCAGTCAAACCTCTGGGACTGAACTTTTCCTGGCTCCTGAGTCCCTTTCCTGGGTGAATGTTCCCCGGGGTCTGTCCATGCTGAAGATCTGCCACACTGGCCCAAGACAAAAGAGGCTTCGTACTGCAACTCCTCAACTTCCCCTACTCAGCCCTCCAAACAGATAACTAAGAGAGAAGGGAGGTTCTCTGATTCTCTGTGGATGCAGTGTCCCTTCTTACACTGTTTGCCTAAAGGTATGACTTCTCCTGCACCACAAAGGTAATTCTTCCCTTTTCCAGGGCCACTGTCCATCTAACCTTCAGAAGACACAGCTACCCAGGTTCAAATCTGGTGAGTATCCCTTGAGGCCTGCTGTGGATGAGGCCCCAAGGAATTCCAATGTCCTCCCAAATACTCACTCTGCTAGGGACTTGAGTCTTTCCTGTCATAAATATCACTGAGGACCCCAACTGCTGCTACTCCATCTTCCTGTGGAAACAGAGCCTCCTCAACCTCCCCTTCTCACTCACCTCTGACACATTCAGAATGTCTCCACCCGGTACATACTCCATAACCACGAATGCTCTCAGACGCGAGCACCCTGACCTTCCTGCAAGAGGGACCACTCAGCTCACATCCTCTCTGCTTGCAGGGAGTGGGGGCTCAGACATCTTTGCCTGGTAGATCTATGCCCTCCCCCATCTCACAGGACGCTAGCTGTGCAAGCTCAGGGAAGAGTGTGTCACTTGACTGACCTCCTCAGGTCAGGAGAAGGCAAATATGGCCCAGTGGGGAAC